TTGTTAACTTGTATAGCAAGTATGTATGGTATTTATTATATCTGCAAAGAATCAGTAGAATGGATTGTATCACTGATGTGCGACAAAAAGCCACAGATCGAGCGTCATATTCAATCTATAGTATATGCAGTTTGAAGAATCACTGATAACAAACAAACAAACAAATATCATTCGATAAACAACGACTGTTTATTTGCGAGCAAACGTAAGGGAAAGCCAATGCGGCGGATTGACAAGTACAAACATTAATACTCGGATGAGAATGAATGATACCATACATTTACTTGCCACAAACATGGCGATAATGAATCAATTGTGTTATCGATGCTTACCTCACTCTTCATAATAAATGTTGAGCAATGCATGTATGATGTCATTGTATAAGCTAATATCATACGTCTTTCATGCTTGCTTCGTCAAGTTTGATTCAGGAGGAAAAAACGATAAGATTAAGAACCCAGTGATTACGGCTAAGTTTTTCGTTTCGCTTGCGCACCCTTCTACGTTACGAGCAGGGGGTGTGAGAAATAAATAAGCAATTATCTATGGAACGTATTTAAATGACAAACAAGCATAAGTTATCTCCAAATGCCGAACTTGACATGCTTTCCACTTTCCTAATTCTTCTCAATTCTTCTATTTTTATCCTTGTCCTACACTTAAATACTCTCGTCACTTGTCTATCCAATGAATGACAAACGAACACATGCGCCATATCAGAAATAGGGTTAACAATGTTAGGGTTCATATTGTATGAATTTTATAAACTTAGTGCGATAAGGGAAACTCTATAAAGTAGTAAAGCTTCAGAATAAGCTTCACAACACACACCCCAAAAGTTGTAATCGACATACCCACAGTCTTATAAAACACGTGATGCTTTAGGGACCTTATAAGAACTGATCTTACAATTGCTTACATTGTGCCAAGTATAAAGATAACATCTGCTAACAATCTCTATTAACTGCCAATCCGACCATGGCAAGTGTCTTGTTTGTTGTCGGTGTTGCTCATATTGAAGGGTCACAAGCGGGTCAGATGACTACTGTTGTATCATTATTATTATACATCCTATTGGTGTGTACGTCCAGATTAGATAACAATTGTCGATGAACGATCAACTGTTGATGAGATTACTGCCTGCAATTGCTAATCATAGTATTCTCGCTATGTCATCATTATTGGTTTCTTTTCAAAATGGTAGAAAATAGAAACCGGTTGCATATATGCGGATGATAATTGTGTAATTACGATTGCATTGTTTGTGCTATAGAGTATCATAATGCGGTGCTGATTGATCGACTATCAATATCATTTGTACATAATTTATCATGTTCATTCCAATATACCAAGAAATTTGTCGATTAGACACGGCAATATAAGTATATGTATTCCGCAATATTGGATAATCTACTGCATAACATTGTGTGATGATATGCAACATATTTATCAAAAGCGTTAGGTCATATGTTCATACAAGATCCCATTCACCTAATCTGCTCAGCCATTCGAAGCGCCTTCATCAGTAATACAAGATGCCACTTGTCTTCCGGGAATATATTGTAATAGTGTCTAACCCTATTTAGAAGTTATTAGACAGCCAAATAGACTTTTATGGAAATACGTCGATCTTTCATTGATAAAAATCAATTTAAAACAGGTTATACAAGATATGCTTTATCATTCTATTCTGGGTTATCAGTAATTACATCGTCATTAGTAATTATCAAACTAGACGCAATTGGACGGAATTGTAAATTTACATTAGACAGTCATAACCATTATATCTATGTAATATTATCCGACACTTCTATTCTTGACTAATTCGTAATTCGGACCAAGTATTATTAGTGACGCGTGCCATATATTGACCCATCGCTTGGTTCGGAACAACTTTTCATAACCACAATATCGCCAAGACACCCATTTTGTGTACTAGCAACCCGAAGAAATCCAGTCGGAAATGTGTTATGGAAACGAGTTATTGCTATCTGAGTTTCACATCTACCCACAGATAGTTACCATTTAGTAAAAACTGTAAAATCAACCATGTAAAGTAAAAGAATCCAAGAATCTACAGTCTCACGGAATAATTCTAAGATATTTTTCACACATGTACCAAATTCAATGCTCTTGAATATCATGATCAAAGACATCTTTTATAGTTCTCATATTATCAGCTTGATTTTCGTGAAATATTTACTCAAATCCCCAATTCCAATATAATCACGTTTTTCTCGTCAATAGTTTTATAAAACGTATAATATCATTAACAAACAATTGTTAACATGCTGCGGAACACGGCGAGTTACTCTCACCAAGAAATTTCAAATTTCTTTTTTGTTATACTACCCAAGTAGACTGTTATTCTGGGAGAATAATTCCTTACTACCTGCAATTTGTTGAACTTGACTACCTTTGCTGAATTATGTGTGGGACGATGATATGAACACATAGATCGATGGTATAGTATATTGACTCTATAACTACAAATTGAAACAAATTAATAAATTATATTAACTAAGCAAGATATTACGAAGATACTTTCTTTATTGTCATGTAAAAAGACTCGATCTTCGAATTATTTGTCCTGAGCATTAGTACATAAACGATTTATACTGGGTATATACATCGTCGCATTCTGTATCAGACATTGGACGTCCTTGCAAGTACTGTATTATTACCATTATGTCACTTGCCAAAAGCAGCAGCGATACCACTAACAAATGGAAGGAGTGGATCTGTGTGTGAAAATAATAAAGTCCAATAACTAAATGTGATACAATTGCTCGGGTCTGGCTGAGGAGAGAAAGCACGCATGGGAGTATTCATTCGAATTAGGATTTGTTTTACACTTGATGCGTTTGATACGGATTTTAAGATCCGAAGATGTCTTGGCTGATCGCAATCTTTGCACAGTGGTCGAAAGACGTATATTGAAAGCAGGAGAGACTGGTATAAAAATGATACTCCAATTTATCGTTATTACCATTTCCATTGTGATTTGCCATCATGTCATGACAGGTGGGAAGAAGAACATGTATCCATGCAGTATTCACATTCACCAACCTATTTCCATAATAGTCTCAATCGTATGGAACGTGTGAATTTGAGGATATGCAAATTTAAGTAAACCTTGTCACTATATAGCATATGCTTCAGAAAACCAGCCCAATGGGCTTATTCATTTACCCTTTGTATTCTTCTATTTATTAATACTTTGTCTAGTAAGAATGAGTCGAATTTTTGTTCCCCGAATGTGCTATTCCTGACGTTCCCTGCGATTTCGTGATACTCGTAAACTATACACATCAGAAGATCGCGGCAAGCGGGCGGAATGAGCTGGCGTCAAAATTCCTTAAACCAGTTATTCTTGTGAGTAAAAAGTTTGCGGATGGTTGCACTATAATTTGAGAACGTAGAGTCTTCGGATAGATTGTGCTTGTTGTGATTGGTTGACATGCTGGTGTGAACTTCTTATGATCTAATGGAGTGTTCGAGTGAAGAGTAGAAGACGGATTGGAGTGAGCGTTAGTTTGTTGAAATAACAAATAGACGTTGACAGGAAAACCGATTTCTTTGTTGATGTTGATGGGAAGGGAATAGAAACAAATAATCAAATAAACAACAACACAACATCAACAACATCAACATCAACAACAACAACGCAACATTAACAACGCAAATTTATTCTAACAATCATTTCTAATACATTAAGCAGTATATAGGCAAATTGACTTCAGAACGCGATCCATTGCTCTTTTAGTCATATTTTCACCTGTCTGTCATGTATTCTTCACAGCCCAACAGTCTGGGCTGGGGAGATCGAGCATGCATGTGGAAGTAAAATTTATTAATGAATAATAATCGAAAACATTGGCCGATTAGTAAAAGTCTTACTTAATATATGACGAGGGCGTACAAGTCAGATGAAGGTGACGGATTTATACGACGAGAAAACGCTGAAAGGTAAATCCGTTTATGAATCAGTACTGCTCTGATATTATACACTATTTTAATTGATTGGCGATTGTGCATTCCATTCTTCTCTATACATTATGGGGTTTTCCCACCGCATAAAATGATCTCATTCTTACCAAAATTTACTCCAAGCCACGGGGAATAGGATGAGCAATTTATAATAACTTGTATAAAAGCACGTAAATGCGATTGTTATAAAGCAGATCAGATTGATATGATAATTAATAGATATGTCACTTCTCGTGCACGTTTTTCAACAAGTGAGGGTGTTGATGAATGGACGCGAAGAAAGGGGTTGCCATATTGATGGGTGAATATAAATGCTCAATTTCTCTTTTCTAGTCCGAATAATCCGAAGCACCTCTGCGCAGTCTGTTTACTTTGCCACCCATATCGAACGCTGTTAACAGCCGTATATGTGTATTACCAAAGCAAGCCCTCAAATGGGACGGTAGGCAATATTCCGTTTGGGGGAATGGTCACCAAAATAGTATACCCCTTACATGGATGCTCCCCAAAATTTATGGGGTGCAATAATTTATACATGTAAAGTAACGTATAAATTTGTGTATATTTATGTGTAGTTAAAGTTGACACATAAGTAATGAACACATACACATCCTTATTATCATTACAGAAACAGTATAAAAAATTTGCCGTATAAATAAATAAATTAGTCAATAAATATAAATAGATATATATATAATACATTCATATACATACAAAACGGTTATATAAATAAGTCTCTTGCCATAGTCAACATCGCGCGAAAATAAGACGTCTCCTCGTTCCTCAATTATCTTCTTTCGCATCCTATAAATATAACAAAAAATATATATCGCTTATATCGTAACTTTAACATCGAACTGTGACGTTTAAATTCATTCTCTTTTCCCAATAAATTGTCTTCTATTATCTGTTGTGCGTAAGAACAAACATATAAACAGATTTTATTCCAACAGCTTTTAGATATACTGATAGATTCACTTCTATTTTTACATTAACCCTTGACTTAATCAATGACCGAACTCGAAAGCACTACAAACCTTGTAGTATCTCCTGACTGGAGCTTACGAATTAATCCTCGTGCGTATCCCTCGTATACAACCCACACTCAACACTCGCACTTGTCTCCACAAGCTTCTCAACTTCAACACCATCAACAGCAGTCTCAATCACAACAGACCCAACGGCAATCTACAAGTCCAAATTCTCCTCAACAAGTGCATCCATATCGCCATAACCTGCTGCCTCCTTTGTCTGTGCCAACTAATCCGAATACTACTCCCACTGCGACCGTCAATGGATTATCATCCAATAATGATACTAAAAGTAGCACTCCCACATCAACTTGCAATTCGCAGATTGATGCATTCAGCAACACTACTGCGAGTAAGAAGATGAGCACATCGACTACTCCTGTTACATCACCCACAAAGAATCCGCAAGATTTAGTTGTTGAGACACACATCCAGGGGAAGCCTCCGTATTCGTATGCAACATTGATCACATATGCTATTACGAATAGTCGTAATAAGCAGCTTACTTTAAACGAGATCTATAACTGGGTCATGGATAGTTATCCATATTACAAGACAGCCGGAACAGGGTGGAAGGTAAGAAATACGATATGTTGAGATGAGAGTACTGCGGCAAATTACTAGTGTAACATTCGGATGAAAACGACGTGACGTGTGATGTGATATGTTTATGAAGTTTAACTACGACATATAATTGACGTCCATTTATATCCAACTTTTGCTCTTTATTTCTCCGTCCATCACCTACAGAATTCCATTCGTCACAATCTCTCCCTCAACAAGACATTTGTCAGAGTCCCGCGTCCGATAAACGAACCTGGTAAAGGATCTTATTGGACGGTCGACTTCAGAGCGGCCGAGGCAGAACAACAGCATCGATCTCGCAGTCGCAACAACCGCTCTTCGTCGGATCCTACTCCTTTTCGCCCAGATACATGGCCATACGACACGAGCCGACGCTTCCGAGAACCAATCACATCAGTACCTGATGTATCTCGTTCTCCATACTTGGGGGTAGTAAATGATTATAACAATATGGCTGCTAACATGGCTGGTTATCGACGATTGACTACGCCCAGATATCATCGTGGTGTCGGTCAATCGTACCTACCTTCAACCGGAATAAATGATACGACTTTGGCACAATCGACAATGCCATATACCGCCGGTGCTGGCATCGGTAATCTCACTGCAGTTAATTACGACCTACCATATGATACGAATTCTATTCACAGTCATACTACGTCTCATGTAGATACGCACGCATTTTCTGCTTATGGAACAAATCCTATCTACCAATCACCCATTGCAACTACACACGCTGAGGCAGCTAATGGTGTATCGCACTCTGGTTTTACTAGTCATGTCAACCCGATGCATTCACCTACTGTTAATGAATATGATAATTTCTATCATCCACCGTCGTAATCTGCTGCTACTGATTCTTGATTCTAATAGTCGATTGGGGGAACGTATTTGTGTGCGTTAGTCAGCAACGAGCGTGTAGTAATGAGTGAAGGCTGTGATATACAAATTCTTATCGGATTCCTTTGAAATGATATAGCTGACAAGTTTTTTATTATATCTGTTAATATGCTCTCTCTCTCTCTATCTATCTATATATATATATATTTTTGCATGATGTGGTTGCTAATTATTTGGGTTGTTTAATTCTTTATATTCTTTCTTTCTGTTCCTAGCCCTTTTCTCCCCTTCTTTCTCTTATTCGCGCTACTCTTTCCTTGTACGATATTTTAATTTGCGTTCCTCCCCCTCGATCTGTTTCCCTACGGTCATGACACGTATTGTGTTGATGCACTTGGGGGTTTATACATACATACTTGCCAAATACATCTATTTTGTACAGTAAAAATATATAGGGAATATAGTGATCTTTTTTTTTATGACTAATATAAAAGATATGAGTTATGCTCGTATGAGTTATGACCTCTTATTAGTGAATATGCGGTAAAAGTGGTTTTTTTTTCTTCTACGTTTAGGATTATATATATGGTGTTTCAACATAATTGTACACAGGTTTTTTTATTAATTAGGATTGGCGTCGGTTGCTTTTTAGTTTTTTCACTTCGGCAGTACAATACACTCATACAATTACGATATGGACATTTGATAAACTGTTAGATTTAAATAAAAATGACTGGTTTATTGATGACGGATTCTTTTCTGTTGCATTAATTAATAGTTATCCATTGTTTAAATGGACGCGAGTTTTCTGGTCCTAACGTTATGTGCAGGAATCCTGTTAATAACGGCAAGCGCGAAGAATAAAAATTTCCTGTCCATTGATATTTACGACTCCATGTACGCTCTAATTCTCTCCGTCATAGTGCCGTTATTTATGTTAGTATTATATCTTCTTGCGATCCAGTAAACCAACCATATTCAAAAGCTTCTGCTTCATACGGATTCTATCTTTCGTGTCCTCGTTGCTTGTTTATTATATCATTGCGACTCGATTGATTTCTGGATTTGTTAAAAAAAAAAAGCGTAGACTGTACTAGTTTGATTTTGGGGGCAAATTAGGTGTTTGATTATCGTTTCGGGAAATTATTGAACAAAATGGATAATGTGCCAAAAAGGGTTATCAAGTGCCCAATGTCTGTCGGGAAGAGATCAGCATGCGCATCGTCGCACAAGCAATTCTTCTCCCATCAGATGATCGATCCATCCTTCCAAAGGATTTAGCAAATTATATGTGTGAACATATAGTAAGATTATATATAATACATACATGTTCCAGATATTCTTGTCCACATATGGATAAAGTGATTATCTGTTCTAGTCGCACAGTCAAATGTACTTCTGTTGAAAGTCGTTCCTACACATTGGCGATGTATAAGATTGGGTTAGTGAACCTGGGCGTTAACAATAGCAATCTGGCTGAAGTAAAAGCATCAAATACATAAATGGGTGATTGGATAACAGTGATACTAAATTTGGTGAATACGAAAAAGAGTTCGATCAAAGCTTATCTTGATAATCTAACAATAAGCCTGGATTGTATGGACTATTATAATATGCATGCTGTTGTAAGCTGTTATAATTGTATTTTTAGGTACTATGTATAGTAGCTATTGTCTTTAATTTATAATAACGGAAGCCAATTGCGAACGTCTTATGTCACCCCTTTCCCAGAAGCCCATCTAGAACGTGTTAATCTATCGGATAATAATGACGGTAAAGATAACAGTAGTAGTAGTAACGATAACATTACAACAACAACCAGTGACAACAATAGTAATAACAATAACGATAAATATGTGTTTGATATATGGTATGTATACACGTATGTATACGGTATTATTGCGAACCGAACTAATCAAATATATATTTATGGGCACCAATAATTCGAACACAATACCTGATTAAATCAGAATTTATGCAATTCATATCCAGAAACATCATAATTACCATTGTGCTAATTAGATTGTTTTCCTGGCCCCTGAATTGACATGAATGTTGGACACTTTGAATGGCAAATAGGGGTATAACTTCTCCTTTCCATTAGACGTTCTGATGAGTTACCAGCATGTAAATACATGAGCATAAAGCTATTACCGAGGAACCAAATCGAACTAGCAAACAACTACAAACAAAGCTGTGTTTATCAGTCGTTGTTTATTGACAGCGAGATCATCAATAAAACAAATAAATAGTGACGGTCATGGTAAATAAAAATAAACAAACAATAACGATTGTATATATTTATACAAACATGCACACATACATATAATTTAGCTTGACGTTATCAATTGCGAAGATGCAACCCATCTCATATCGGCTTATTGCCTCTATACTGCATACCTTTTTTTACATGCGCAGATTATTTGTACATTTTCCAAGCTATTCACTTACATAATGAAAATTCTACTTCCACGGTTCTACTAAGCTTTAGTTTCACATTCCCTTCCCATGCAATTTCAAATTGGGAATTAATACTGGAATGGCAACTTTAATAGCAGACAGTATCTCGCTTACGGCAATTGGTCGAATTATTAAACCAGATTAATTTACGGCAATCAGCAATTGGACGACCGAGTTAATGTGGCAGATTAAAACGAAAACGACTTTTGTGAGCCCACCTTTAAAGCTTCATATGCTCTTCTATTACTGAACACTACCTAAATTCTAGCCCAATTCAAAAAAAGAAAAGTCTAAAAAATGGTTTCCAAAAAATTTTAAACTTTCATATTAAAATAGAAAAAGGGTCGGTTTAATCCGATTTCGTTTTAACCTGATTTCGTTTTAACCTGTCACATTTTATTAATCACGTTGTTAATTTATTCAAGTGCCATAGGCGTCACTGGATCAGCTGACACACAAGTCAATGCATGTAATACATTCGCGGATTGAGGAGAAGTTTACGTATTAACAAGTCATTCGCTGACTTGATATACACTGCCTCTTGCTCATTGATAATGCATTTGCGAAGAACTAAACCGGGATAGTTGTTTAATGCCATGTGAGTTAACAAGAACTACACGGAACAATTAATAAAAATTAGTCAAAAACTAATCGAAGCAATATAAGTGTCATAATTAATATAATAATGTAACAGTCAAGGAAGTATATAACGCAATGCAAACGGTTTTTCGTTACGAAGAGCAGGCTAGTTCAGAATCGAACCTTAAGCCTAAAGAGTTACATTTTTTAAGGAAAATGCAAACGCAAATGTCAATTACGGAGTTTATTATAATAAAAACTAAGCAATTCTAAGCAACAATAAATGGTCCATACTTACTGTGGGTGAAAAATAATGCTTGATTGTTGTAATAATACATATAATATTACCTTTGTACAGTCACATAATCTAGTAACAGGCCTATTAAATGACTATATAAAGGAAATCGATATAGTCATACCTTGTTATAGTCACTATCCCGACGCCGTGACTATATCGAGGTGCGACTGTATAAAATTAGGATAACTTGAGTTTCTCCACGCCTGTGCACTATTACAATGTTCTCTGAATTTTTAGATGTCATTGAACAGTACCTGTGCTTTTTGATAAACTACATGTACTAGTATAATGGTTGGTGATGGTTTCAAGGATTGATCAAAGGTGACAAATGGCTTTTATGTCTTTAAAGACCCTAACGTGTAGTTACTGAATGATAATCAAAACGCGTGTTGATCAATAACCTATTGATTTGTTTCAGAAAACTTGTTTGTTTTACTGCCGCAATCTTGTAATCCCTTAGACTGTTTTCCGTTCAAATTTGAACGGAATTTTGATTCACTGACAAAATCGCTTTATATCTCCTTTATT